GTGCGGTGTGTGTGTGGGAGGGGTTTGGGTCGGTACGCGTGTAATTTGGATTGGGTCGTGTATGTGGGGACTGGGTTGTTGTGGTGTGGGTGTGGACGGGGGATGATGTGTTTGGGATGGATGGAATTGATGTGGTGAGTGTGTGAGTGTGTGTGTGAGTGTGTGTGTGAGGGTGGAGGGGGGGGGGGGTTGGGATGGTCCGGGACATCTATTGACACAAGATAAACATGGAAGCCATGAGGCTATCGATGTCGGAGTTGAGAAGATCGGTATTCGAATACAACATTTGTTATACATGACTTGTAAAGAGACTGGTATTTGCATGCTGGGAGTATCGATACACACACGACCTACGAATACTTCCTTCTATTGACAGAGACGGAGAGATAGGAAGCTATCGTGTGTGTGTGTGTTTGTGTGTGTGTTTGTGTAAAGAGTAGACGAGGAAGAAGGTTAGACAAGAAAAGAATTACGAAACTGTAGGTAAATAAATTAAAAATTTTATCGTAACTATGGTAACGGTGGCGACGCAATTATTTCCGGGACCCTCATTACGTAGCGTGGATTAGTATCCACTTCCGTCTGAGTCATGTCTAGTTCAGTCATCAAATAGAGTCACCTGGTCTATGTGGATAGACGGACACCCGTCCTACGGAGCAAGTTCAAGCATCAGAGACTAAGTTAAGCTTTTATTGACAGGACGCCATTGGCTTTATCGTCCTTATAATGATGTGCCTTAGAATCCATTTTAATTATATATATATATATATATATATATATATATATATATATATATATATATATATATATATATATAAACACCACACAAATAACCAGCATAAAGGCAGCAGACATTTTCCATCAGGTCCAATCTACCAGCACTGTATGTGACTGTCATTTCCAGTTCTGTAACAGGCCGTCACTGCCGACTCCCAGCTAAGTGAACACACGGGGACCTCCCAGCCGTTTGAATAACAAGATTTGTTTTGTCCATCGACCCGGCAGAAGGAACTGACAAAAACAGACGACAAAATACAATAACGTCCATTATGGAGATGAGGCCGGTATGTTTATTTCATTGAGACAAAAGGGCCGGTCGGAGTTAGTCACCGAACTCAGGGGCGGCGGCGTCAGGTGGCTGTGGGGTTTGGGGGGAGGGTGGGGAGCGATTGGAGGGAGTTGTGTACTTTAGAGGGTGGCGTCTGGAGGATTAGATCTAAATTGTACTTACAGGAATTCAATAAATGGGCTAAGCAAATTGTTAAATATGAAATACGACGTCACATTATATAGATTTATAAATGTGTATATATATATATATATATATATATATATATATATATATATATATATATATATATATATATATATATATATACATCTATAGGTAAATATATGTATATATGTGTATATATATGTATGTCTACATGTATATATATATATGTATATATATATATATATATATATATATATATATATATATATATATATATATATATATATATATATATACGTACATGATATTAAAATCTGATGTGTTTCTAATGCCCACGCCATACATCTCCATTATGTTTACATTCGTACATGCGAGTGTGACAGCCTATGTGAGCGATTGATCTCACCACCATGCAACAGGTGTATGCCCACTAGCGCCCCCTGTCAGCTACCCCCACGTCCACACCGAAACCCCCTAATGTGGTCTCTGTGTTCGACCGCCCGATCGATAATATTGCCCTCAATTAATGCAACCCCCCACCCCCCCTCCGAATATTTTACCACACTCCCCAAACAACGCAAAATATCGCGTCTTAACATGCGAGTTCTAATTTTCTCCCAGGGAAATATTTTGTAAACATAAAAAATAAATAATCAAATCATCAAGTCTAAGAATGATCAAGTTGGATAGAGAGAAGCGAAGGGGATGAAAAGTAGGAGCACAGAGAGATGCTAAATAAAGTTTATTTCCATGTAAGCATTGGTGTTTTTTTTTCTTGTATGTAGATAGAAACCGATAATTAGAAAATCCTGCCATCTCTTTCCTTAAAGGTGGTATATGGGAAGATAGCTCTTTCTAATAAACAAACTTTTTTGCTCAGAATATACAAATATGTATGCATATGTATATATATATATATATATATATATATATATATATATATATATATATATATATATATATATATACATATGTATGTATGTATGTATGTATGTATGTATGTATGTATGTATGTATGTATGTCTGTATATATACAGTCTGCATCGTCAATTCGTTAGGCTAAACAACCCAGCAGCAACACCAACACAACAAGCCCCATCATCACTGATCTATCTTGTTTTACTTCACCGTTTCACCACATACAACTATCTCCATTTCACACAATGTGTACTGTATTGATCTTACAATTGGGATAGTGTGTACTGTAAGTAAGAGAAACGGGAAAACAAACACACGCTTGTTGGTTTGTACTTTGTAAACATCGGGGCCACTGGGCCAGTGTATAAGATCAGTTACTGGGCCCACATATATCAGTTTCCAGGGGTAACTAGGGCGGCACATTACTTTTCTAGAAGCTACTGTGACGACACATTACTTTTCTAGAAGTTATTGTGAAGACACATTACTTTTCTAGAGGCAACTATGAACACAGTACTTTTCTAGAAGCTACTGTGACGACACATAACTTTTCTAGAGGCAACTATAAAGAGACATTACTGTACTAGAGGCAACTATAAAGAGACATTACTTTACTAGAGGCAACTGTGAAGACACATTACTTTTCGAGAGGTTACTGTGAAGAAACACTGCTTACTTGGGACGACATTTATTTTACCTTGTATTTAACCTCATTATTGGATTTTTCGCAGTTACGTAATGATGAGATAATGAGAGACATTGATCGATGAGGGATGGAGAGAAGGAGAAAATTAGTAAACAGATTAATGCGCAGATTAGAAAGAAAAAAAAAATTGGACGTTTTCAATTTTGTGAAATGGTTTTCTTAAAATTAAAAAACAAAACAAGAAATCATAGCAAAGAACTCAACCTCACGTAGCCACACAATAACCACACGTAGCCACACAATAACCACACGTAGCCACTAGAGAGCCACACACAACTACAAAACAACCACACGTAGCTACCTGTAGCTGAGAAGTACTCGCCTTGCTGATGTTGTGTTTAACGCTACGCTTGTTTCTTAAATATGAGCTTAGCCTTAACAAGGCATGCGTTTAACCTAAATTAAGCGTAAAACTTTGGTTTAATAAAGTATACACTTGCTTGAAAAAAAGCTTATAACATAATATCTTAAATATATAGGGGTTGGTTAATTATATGGAACATTGTGGATAAGTTGTGCGGAACATTGCGACATCAAATATAGATACGAATGCATTAGCATTTGTGATGTATATTACGCATGTAGATCTAGATATACATATTGTATGAGTACATATTTATGTTGCCTATGCGTACTCATATTATACAGTGACTCCGTGTGTTCGTGTGTGAGGTGTGTATGTGTAAAGTATATAATACATATGTGTAGAATAGTTTATATATATATATATATATATATATATATATATATATATATATATATATATATATATATATATATATATATATATATATATATATATATATATATATATATATATATATATATATATATATGTGTGTGTGTGTGGTGTGTGTGTATACAGGCATGGCGTGAGTACACCTGCAGTGTGTACGTGTGTGAGGTGTGTATGTGTAAAGTATATAATACATATGTGTAGAATAGTTTATATATATATATATATATATATATATATATATATATATATATATATATATATATATATATATATATATATATATATATATGTGTGTGTGTGTGGTGTGTGTGTATACAGGCATGGCGTGAGTACACCTGCAGTGTGTACGTGTGTACACATGTCATTATGCATATCCCTATTGGCTCGGGATACTTAATGCACGTGTATTTGCGCGCGACTGAAGTACAAAGTGTACGCGCATGCGCTGTTTGTTGTGTCAAAGTCTTTGTTAGATAAATCATTGGCCGACACATTAATCAGGATGGTGTGGGTGGGGGGGGGGGGGGGCTGTAGTAGATCGGTATGAACCGTTCTGTTTAATAGAGATTCGCTGGGGCGCCATATGGTTCGACCTCCCTCACAGCTGGGCATGGGAGAGAATCACGTTCAATCGAAGCCCCCCCCCCCCCCCCCGCCATTTATCCGTCACCCAGGTAATCCCTTTGATACACATTGTCCATATTAAACATTGATAAAAATAGTTTAGGAAAAATAAAATCTCACGTTAAAGCCTGGTTTTAAAATTTTAATGCTCATAAAATTTAACGTCTTAAGGGGGGATAAAAATAAATTTGAAGATCTATAAAGGAAGAAATTGCGTAGCAAAATATTTCCGACTGTTGAAAAATAAAGAAATTATAATTTGATTTGAAGTTGATCTGTGGGACCCTACTGTATGTGCGTGTGTGTGTGTGTGTGTGTTTGTGTGTAAGGGGCTGAGGATCATAGTTTCTTCCAGGCATCTCTACCGCCCCCCCCCCCGAACGAAATAGAATTTATATAGAAAATATACACTTTGACCAGTGCCCCCCCCCCCCTCTTGCGGAAAATTTTAGCCCCCCCCCCCCTCCACGGAGAAAAAAGCCTGGAAGAAACACTGGTGAGGATTTTCTTTACAAATCTAAATGTTATGGTTTATTTTATTAAATAGTTTTAAGAAACGATGTACCCTTTTGAAACAAATCTGGTATCAGTAATACCGTTCCTTATTGTCAAACTGGCAGTTACGGATTCGAATGTAACAATACTATATCTTTCATAAGACTAAAACAAGGGGTTTAGTGTTAGGTCCAGGCTAGAATTTGTTCAGATCTTTGTCTTTACCGACAATTCAAGGTATTTGAAAAAAAAAATAAATAAAAAAACGACAACAGCATAGGAGTGGACCCAAAAGAACTTACCGGTATGTTTTTCTCCTTAGCCGCTTTATCTAAAGAATCCTTCTGCAGCTGTTTTGTCCGGTCCGACAGCTCCATATTTTGCCGGGAGCCGGACAGCACGCCGTACCGGGACTGACCGTTCCTGACCTCCCCGGTAGTAGCGAGTTTGTTCAGCCTCTCTTTGGAATAATCCGCTTGGAGAATATCGTCCTGCGATCCGCTTGGGCCCATGCCGAAGATTTTATAGAAACACCGGATGCACATTTTTTTTTGGGGTTCGAGATTATATATTTTTCCACGAACAATAGCAATGGTGATTTTTAGTCCTTCACAAAGACACAGCTGTTACAAGCTAATTGTTTGGCTCCTTTTTCGACATTTTGGTTCGTTTTACGATCATTTTATCTGGCTTGCTAAAATTATAATAACACTGATGCATATGGCTAGGTTAAATTATTATAACACTGAAGTTTTAAACAACATTTCTTACAATTTTTTTTTTCTCATGATGAATGCAACTGTTGCCAAATTTATCTGTGTGTTCAGAAGACAGGTTGGTTTTAAAACTCGCGAATAAGACTACACTAGATCACGTGATTTATTCAAGGAGATTAAGCCAATTCCCTCGGATATGCCCGTCTTTCACATTACGTCACGTCCGCTGACCATTAGTATTAAAATATTCATACAGCACAACCGGCCGTTCTTGAATAAGTTAAGGTTAGAGATATTCGGTCCACGCTCTTAGCCTGGTCAGTGGGGCGCTTAGTGGGGCGGTAAGTGGGTGGGTCAGTGGGGCGTTAAGTGGGTGGGTCAGTGGGGTGGTCAGTGGGTGGGTCAGTGGGGTGGTCAGTGGGTGGGTCAGTGGGTGGGTCAGTGGGTGGGTCAGTGGGTGGGTCAGTGGGTGGGTCAGTGGGGTGGTCAGTGGGGCGGTAAGTGGGTGGGTCAGTGGGGCGGTAAGTGGGTGGGTCAGTGGGTGGGTCAGTGGGTGGGTCAGTGGGTGGGTCAGTGGGGTGGTCAGTGGGGCGGTAAGTGGGTGGGTCAGTGGGGCGGTAAGTGGGTGGGTCAGTGGGTGGGTCAGTGGGTGGGTCAGTGGGTGGGTCAGTGGGGTGGTCAGTGGGGCGGTAAGTGGGTGGGTCAGTGGGTGGGTCAGTGGGTGGGTCAGTGGGTGGGTCAGTGGGGCGGTAGGTGGGTGGGTCAGTGGGTGGGTCAGTGGGGCGGTAAGTGGGTGGGTCAGTGGGTGGGTCAGTGGGGCGGTAAGTGGGTGGGTCAGTGGGTGGGTCAGTGGGTGGGTCTGTGGGGCGGTAAGTGGGTGGGTCAGTGGGTGGGTCAGTGGGGCGGTAAGTGGGTGGGTCAGTGGGTGGGTCAGTGGGTGGGTCAGTGGGGCGGTAGGTGGGTGGGTCAGTGGGTGGGTCAGTGGGTGGGTCAGTGGGTGGGTCAGTGGGGCGGTAGGTGGGTGGGTCAGTGGGTGGGTCAGTGGGTGGGTCAGTGGGGCGGTAGGTGGGTGGGTCAGTGGGTGGGTCAGTGGGTGGGTCAGTGGATGGGTCAGTGGGTGGGTCAGTGGGTGGGTCAGTGGGTGGGTCAGTGGATGGGTCAGTGGGGCGGTAGGTGGGTGGGTCAGTAGGTGGGTCAGTGGGTGGGTCAGTGGGGCGGTAGGTGGGTGGGTCAGTGGGTGGGTCAGTGGGTGGGTCAGTGGATGGGTCAGTGGGTGGGTCAGTGGGTGGGTCAGTGGGTGGGTCAGTGGGTGGGTCAGTGGGTGGGTCAGTGGGTGGGTCAGTGGGTGGGTCAGTGGATGGGTCAGTGGGTGGGTCAGTGGGTGGGTCAGTGGGTGGGTCAGTGGGGCGGTAGGTGGGTGGGTCAGTGGGTGGGTCAGTGGGTGGGTCAGTGGATGGGTCAGTGGGTGGGTCAGTGGGTGGGTCAGTGGGGCGGTAGGTGGGTGGGTCAGTGGATGGGTCAGTGGGTGGGTCAGTGGGTGGGTCAGTGGATGGGTCAGTGGGTGGGTCAGTGAGTGGGTCAGTGGGTGGGTCAGTGGGGCGGTAGGTGGGTGGGTCAGTGGGTGGGTCAGTGGGTGGGTCAGTGGATGGGTCAGTGGGTGGGTCAGTGGGTGGGTCAGTGGGTGGGTCAGTGGGTGGGTCAGTGGATGGGTCAGTGGGTGGGTCAGTAAGGCGTTAAGTGGGGTGATAGTGGGTCGCTTAGTGGGGCGTCAGTGGATCGGTAAGTGTGGTGTCATTGGGGCGGTTAGTGGGGTGTCAGTGGATAGGTCAGTGGGGTGTCAGTGGAGCGGTTAGTGGGGCGTCATTTTGCGGTTAGTGGGGAGGTCAGTGGGGTGTCAGCGGGGCGCTTAGTGGGGCGGTCAGTGTAAGTGGTAAAGTAATAATCAAACCAAATGTAATGTAGACTATGTAGTTCTTATACATTGTAGAAAAAATACGTTCAGTAACACTACATTTTAAGTAACTTTGTTCTAGATGTTAAACTTGGAAGTTAAAACCATCGGCTGAAAAAAAATGCAGCTTTTGGATATTAACGCACCAAAAAGAGCTGTAAAAGTCTCCATTAACGTGCACCGCCCGCATAGGGAAACCCCACAAAATGTCTCCACGGTGACGGGTATAGATGGGCCGGGAAGACCAAAGAAGGGGAGAGAAATGCAAATGAATTCTTTGATTATTATCCTTCTTGTGCATTCCATTGAGATTGGTCGTTACATCATACGGGGAAGCTTCTTGGGAAAATGATAAATAATAAACCGGGAGTGATCTCCCCTAAACTTTCTCGAATATTCTTATATAAAATAACAGGGGATGGAAACTCGGGCTATAGACATGATTTTTAATCCATTTTAAATACTTAAAGTTTTAAAAATAGAATAAAATCTCGTAGACAAATTAATTGCACACCAAGTGAACGCAAATAAAAAAAGCGCATAATAGTGCGCAATATTATTAGTACTTTTAAAATTTACATTAGTTTTTTGAGAAATCGGAAGTAGCGTAAATTACTACTTCCAGTCAACGGAAATTACTCAAAATTTAACAGAAGGTAGAGAATTAGATCTTTTACTTACATGTGAAATTTCATTTATCTATCTGAAATAGTACTCAAGTTATAGGCTTTTAAAAAATTCAAAGTAGGAAAAGTACCACTTCCGGTTATCGGAAATCGCTCAAAAGTTGATACGGATCTACGATTTTGATAAAATACTTATATATGAAATTTCATCAACCTAGCTGTAACGGTACTCAAGTTATCGTGTTTACACACGGACAGACACACACACAGACACACACACACACAGACATACGGACAAGATTGCAAAATTATGTTTTTCCGTATCAGTGAGGTGTAAAACGTCGAGATTTATAAAAATCTCGATTTTTTTTTTTTTGCACGATTACAATACTTTTTCTATACTACGTATATACGAGAAAGTAAAAATGTGCCTTAATTTGATAGGCTTTTTGCTCATGCTTAATGCAAATGTACTGTAAGCTTGATTATTAGTGGGCTTATTTTTCCACGTTGGTTTGTCTGTAACATGAAAGCGCCAGAGTTTCTTCTAGGCATCTTTTCGAACGAAATGAAATTTATATAGAAAAAATATACTTTTAACAGTGTCGTCCCGTCCCCCCCCAAAAGGTCAAGTGCCCCCCCCCCCCCCACGGAGAAAAAAGTCTGGAAGAAACACTGGAAAGCGCACCACAATCAGTATGAAAATACATCGCACACAAAAACACTCAACTCATCGGCGAACTTTTTATGTGGTCTCCATATGGGACGGCACGGCCTAGCAGTAGATGCTACCCCCTCCCACCCCCCCCCTTCATTCGCCTCACCCCTATATCTGCGGCCTGTTGGAACATTTTTGCATGCCTTGATGATTTTCGCGACGTGTCACGTGACCTAAGTTCTCGTGTGTCAGCTATTGTCAAAACATCATCATGAAACATGAGGTTTAGGGTTAGGATAAGACGCTTTACAACCAGAACTAGGACCTGGGTCGGTGTTAGGGTTAGGATAAGACGCTTTACAACTAGAACTAGGACCTGGGTCGGTGTTAGGGTTAGGATAAGACGCTTTACAACTAGAACTGGGACCTGGGTCGGTGTTAGGGTTAGGAATAAGACGCTTTACAACTAGAACTAGGACCTGGGTCGGTGTTAGGGTTAGGAATAAGACGCTTTACAACTAGAACTAGGACCTGGGTTGGTGTTAGGGTCAGGGGATATATGTAAAAAAATAAATCATACATAGTGTCATGTCAACTCTAATAGATATCGCTGATCGACCCCTTTCTTCTAGCCCTTGACGTTTAATCACAGCATCATAACCTTCGAATCCTCTTCTTCTTCTTCGTTTTACATTTTAAATTTGATTGGGATTCCCACCAACGCAATAAGTAACACGATTCAACATCGTATTGATCGTTGACAGATCATACAGACTCCCATTTTAGCCTGCTTTTCTTTCTGGGTTTGCTTCCATAACCTCTGTCCACCCAACATTTTTTCTCTCCTAGATTGGTCACTGTCTCTAGCTACCGAGTGTCTCCTGCCCGAGGATCCGAACCCTGGACTTCTGAGCAAGCAAACACGCCGTCCCCTAACCCTCGAATAACTAACGCACATCATGAACCCTATACCGTAAAGCCCAATAAGTCATCGCCTTTTATCCACTTAAGTTTCTTAAAACTATAACATCCACGTGTAAAAACTATGGATTTGTTTCCTGACGCTATCACTAAATAATACAGTTATCACATGATAGTAGCGCTAGCTAAACTGTATAGAGAATGTATACAACTTTTATTTATAGTCCCTCTGCAGATGAGCGGGTGTGTGTTCCTTGTTTTCCCTCCACATGGTTTGAAAATAATATCCTGATGAGTTTGAAAAGATATTTTCAAGAGAAATATTACAAGAACCATCGTAATGAAATAGATATGGAAATTTCACATGTCTATAAATTAGATAAGCAATAAAGCTAATAGTTTTGATTTAAAACTAAAGTCAAATAATAATTTTTAGAAAAATACATGAGCTTAAAAAATTAGATAACTATTAATATGCTCTTTTTACATCTCATATTTAGATTTAAAAGAAAAAAAAAAGGTTTTAATTTCCCATCTATGCTATTGGTCTCTTGTTTTTCATTATTTTTGTTAACATTGTAGTTGGCTACCTCCCTTGATTAAAAAAGAATATGAACGGGAAATAGCTAAAACAAATACAAATAAATTTTGAACAACAGTAACCATTTTTTCTCCACAGGATAATGTCTAAAACTATCAAGTAAAAATGTAATGAATTACAATTTTAAAAAATTGTTTCACTTTGTGAATACAGATCTGAATCTTGTGTGACAAGATACTATAACAAAACGTAACACCAGTTGAGTAAACCGCTAAAGTTACGACTGTAGTAGTCAAGATAACGCCCCAAGATTTTG